GTATGCATTGATAGAAACATCAATGCATTTAGAAGCTCAGAGACAATGGTGAACGACAACACGCGACACCGAGCTCAGGCTCTAACCAGCATCTGAGTTTGAAACGGAGATTAAGCGGGGTTTAAATTTCCCACGCTGACACAGGGATGAGTAATTCTGGAACAAAAGGCGATTCTCCACACTGGCCCTTATCACCCACGGCAGGTAGACAAGCCAACACAATAAGACACGCACGCATACTGAAACACTTCATGCACACACTCACCCACCCACCAAAACACCTGTTATTTTTTAGTACACATCGCTTGGTGCAAATGCAGTGAACACCGGAGGCCATGGCGATTAGGAATTAACCTTTTAACTGGCCGGGTGTGAAATAAGGAAATGCTAGGCAGAAACACTGGATTTTAAAAAGTCTCTCTGCCTTTAAAGCCATGAGGATTGATGACCCGTGATGGCAAGTGGAAACCAGAGACTGATGCATGGACTCATACCTGCCAAAAGATTATCCGAGATCCTTCCCAGACTGCTAACAAACTGCTTACTCTGACTCTGCAAAAAGAATTTATGCACACAAGAGCTCCTGCCAAATCCATTTGCGCATTTCTAGCTGGTTGCTATTTTTTTTTGTCAGTGATTACTGATGTCTTTTGTGGCCTTTCTTCAGTGTATTCCCATTTTAAATTTCAGCACAGAATAGGAATTAGTTTGAATCTCAGAGAACCAGAGGCGGTTTTGGGGGGTAACTGCATGCATGGAGAATCCTATATCCAAAGCTTGTTCAAAATATGTCTCAAGCAAACGGCAACGGAGCGTGTTTAATGCCGTACTTTGAAGCTTGAAATGTTTGACATATTGCGGATCATAACTGTGAGTTCCTGGAAAGCACGCTGAGAGTAGCGGGGATTTGACTCGCAAGCTACCTACAGTACTGCAGTTAAAATATTTGAAGCTCTTGGCAGTGAAATGAAAAATGAAAAGCCTAAAGAAAAAGTGCTCCTTTATTTACGCTAATTTTAATCACTTTTACCCCCCAACCAGCACATTAAACACACGTTCAGTGACCTTGCATAATTCTGGAGGCAGTCAATGTGTTAGCCTGGGCAAAGACGATAGAGCAAATGCCACTGGCAGCTGAAGTCTTCGAACAGACGGCAACGAGGGATCTCAAGCAAGCAGTCACCCCAAAGCCGGATGAGCACAGACAAAAGCACTGGGTTGTGTTTTCCCCGGGTGAGCCCGTGTTCTCATTCTTAGCTGTCTACAGTCGATATTGTCCTTGCATTCTTCCCCGACCTATTCTTTCATAGTGTCTACCTTGACCTCATTCCTCTTCTTTTGATCTGTTTTGATCTGCCCCCTCACACACACTTTTTTTTTACCCCTCCCATCTCTTTCTTTATTGCAATACTTCTACACAGAAAGACAACTATCCTGCACCAACGCCGCCCATGTACTGGTTTGAATTAAAGCTTTTGGCACTGATTAAGGTGACATATTTAGAAGTTCATTTTTTATTTTGAGAAGAATCCCTCCATCCCCTAAAATAGCTTATGAATGACTCTACAATTTTACCTTCTTTATTACCCACAGATTTATTGATATGAAAATTAATCACCGCCTCTAGCAGCCTGCCAACCATTCACCTTGAGCCCACTCTGCACAAACACTATAAAAAACAAAAAAACTGGATACTTACAGTGCACTGACCAAGGAGGAGACAGGATTGCAGATGGTTGCCTAGAAGTCAGTAAATCTCCTTTTATATGAGGCCTGTGCTATCTCGCAGCTAATCATGTGTTGATAACGTCAGAGGAAACCTATCTCCAGTTTAGAGCTCTGACAAGTTTTCTGCCTCATGGTGCAAAATCAGCTCTGAGGTAACCTGTGTGGATGGAGAGTGGTGTCTGGCACAGGGTGCTGCGATTCCTTTAGGTTCTGAAGGTTGAGGGTTGGGTCCTTCCCAGCTTGTCCTGGCACATCCAGTGAACGCTTAATTAGATGGGAATCTGGATGGTATGAGGCATTAGGGTGTGCCATTCCCATGGAGAAGGTGTTTGGTTTTCAGCAATTGTGGATATTAAGTGTGAAAGTAATGCACACATTGATGGCAGGCACCCAGTGTTTCCCACAGGAACACTGCATTCTAATGAGATGGTCAATAGTATTTACTTTACATGTGAGTGGTTTAAAGTAATGACTGCTCTGTTTAGCATACAGAGTGGAAACATCCACTGGCTTTGCATTTAGATTATGCAATTCTTTTATATTTTATTTATTTTATTTATATCTGTAATTTATATTTCATATTGTGATTTTTTATCTGTATCATGATTTTACAGGAAAGCACTTTGGTGTACTTCGGTCTTTAAAATGTGCTATATAAATAAATTTTGATTGATTCATTGATGTGGATGTTTTAAAATTTGATTTTCGTCAGCGGGGGTCTTATATGCAGCGATGGTGGAAAGTAGGTACACAGTGTTAATTCTGTGGTCTTTTTTCATTGGGACATAGCACAAATTCATCTAGTCCCAAAAAATCTTTTAAATAACAACCAGAATGACAACACATTCATTATTTATTAAACAAAAACTGAGAGAAAATGCAGAAGCAGCATGTTAAAATAAACTAAGGACACCCCGTGATTAACCAGCTAGTAGAACCACTTCTACCTTCATCAGGATTTCACAATGTTGTGGATGATTTCTGGGCCGGTCTTTTTTTAAAAGTTCAGTTAATTGTGGTTTGTGGGGATATTTATGCACAGCTCATACAATGTCCTGCCACATCATTTCCTGTCAAATGTAAGGTTCTGATCTTTGATTGGGTAATTGCAAAACCTCAATTCTTTTCTTTTTCACTCATTCTGTTGTTATGTTAGGTTTGCTGCTGCACTTGGATCATTGTCCTGTTGCATGACCCAGTTTCAGCCAGGTGTTAGCTGTCGGACAGATGGCTCCACATTTGATTCTTGAATACTTTGCTATACAGAAGAGTTCATGGGCGACTGAATGACTCCAAGGGCAAAGTCCTTTCCACCAACTATTTCCACGTTGGGAGGCATTTAGTGAGATGTCAGATAGACTGACATCCCCCTTGAAGGTTTTCCACTTGACAATGATCTTTGCCATTATAGAGCGATGGACATCAGATTGTTTGGAAATGGCCTGACTGTAAAACCTCTCCCAGGTTGATGGGAAGCAACAATTATTTCTCTAGGATCATTGCTAATGTCTTTCCTTTTTGGTACATCTGAATGCTCCAAACTAGCAAACTGCCCAAATTTGTGCTTTTAGAAGAAATGATCAATTAATCAATTGGATCTTTTTGGTTTTTTGTTATATAAACAAAATCACAGTGTAATATGTCATGCTTTGCAGTTCACTTGAAGTTGTATTTACCTTTAGTTTCAAACATCCAAAGGACCTGGTATTTTTATTATGTCCTGATATGTATACAACCTTAAAACCTTTAAAGAAGAGATACCATCTTTTTACTGTGTATTAATATGTATGTTTGAATAAAGATTCTTAAGTCTATTTATACTGAGTCTTTTGAGTTACTCAGCTCTATTGATGCTTTTGAAGTGTGAATTTTCACACGAGAAATGCTTTAAAATGGCAACTGTTTAATATCTTGAAGGCATGAAAAACAAGTGTAGGTTCTATTACAATCAGTTCTATCTTATTTAAGCCTTTATTTAATGCATTTTGATGTAATGGCCTCAAACGATGCAGTTGATACAGTTATTACATGATTTTTAATGGTCTGGCCAGTATTGGAATATTACAGCAGGCTCCTTTCTGTGTACTTCTTGTTTTGTTACTTACGCTAGTCCTAAGGCGTTGCGTGCGTGCTCTAAGAAGTGTTCAGCAGACTTATCTGGATTAAATATTGCTGATTTGTTCTTTGATAGAAAACACTTTTATGTGTTCCTCTAGGGTGTTTTTTCTCTCACAATTACGTGCCTTATTAATATTTTTTTACTATTTATGACTGCTTTATGAATAACTTCTGAAAATCTGTCAAAGGCATCAAATGCACCTACTGTAACACAAGCCTGCCTTGTTGTGCAAACATGAAAATGAAACAGGAGAGATGAATGCCTTCTGGGTTTGGCTTTGATAAAAGAAAGCAAAACTTTAATCCTTGTTAACTATAGTTGTATAGATTATTGAGTGGAAAATTGTGGAAGTGGGCTCTTAATTGGCATAGCTTTCCATGACTTCACTCCTGTGCTTCCATAATTCACTGATAATTCTTATCTATCTCCAGAGTCAGATGATTGTAAATTGCCATTATAGCACAGGCTTAAGGAAAGTCAATTCTTAAACAAAATCATTTAGTGTACTACAAGCACACATTACCACGCGTGGTGATTAAGAACTGAATCAATATCTTAATATCTGAGCATTATTAAAATTGAAGTTTTAGCCATACACTTATGTCAGTACTAAATGCATTTGTTAGTTTAATTAGCCAAATGTTTGAGGGGCACAGATCACTGTGCTGAAATGGGCTGCAATGACAAACAAACTCAATCATTATCTCAGCCTATTATGCAGGCTTTGATAATGTGGCACAGAATATCAAGTATCCATATTTTAGAAGGCTGGAGCTTCCCCAATGAATGATTTTACCACTCTCACATGTGCTCTTTGTGCTGGATCTATATTTGCAGTATACCAGAACAGAACACATGTGAGAGTTGCTTTTCGATCAGATTCCTGTGTTATACCAGTGACATTTCAACAAAAATCACACGTTACATCTCAACACTGTCACCTGAAGAAGTGAGAAGTAAATAAAGCTTTCTGTCAGAACATGTATTTCCAGAATAATACACATGTTTAATATAGTGACAGCAATTCTCATAAGCATTTAAAATGAGATACTTCCTGCTTTTCTTAAACCTAAAGAATCCAGCAAGGCATTTTTGCACTTTGACGAGCACTCAAAGGAAGCTTGTCTTTTCAACCTGAGAGGTAAATACTCACAAGTCGGCTGCTGCGAGACAGTGGTTTCCTCCAAGGGAAGCTCCCTTTAGCATTCTGTCTCCTGCGGTTTCTGTAATACACGGCGATCTATAGAGCCTTGTATGATAAATACTACACAGGAGCGGACAGCTTAATATCTCTCTTCCTCACAAAACAGTTTAAGCTTCCCGAGAGTCTGTGATTCTCCGTAACAAAAGCAACACACACTCAACATTCATACCTGCTCACACATTCTTCAACTTGTCAATGCTTGCCTCCAAACATGAATCCCTTCGTGATGCTCTAGCTCTAGCGTTTCACTTCTCTCTGCCTTTCTTTCTGCTCCTTCTTACTTCACTGGGTTCCTTTTAGTGTCCAGCCAAACTATCTGCTAACACGTTTTCCAGAAGCAGTGTTTTGGTGCTAAGCCTGCATGTGTTTCTGTACTAAACTGCAAATGCTGATTCCCATGTACAGCTGTTTCACTGGTAAAAGCTCCACGTTGAAGAAAGAAAAAGAAAGAAACTGCATCATGCCCTTGGTACGCTGGAAGCATACCACCGGTGCTTTCCCCCCCACGCTCTCGGCTTTGCTTCATAAACTTTAATAGCTAACCCCACTGCAGACTAGGTGATAAAAATCAAGGCTCCCTTCACTCACAGTCTGTAAACATGACTTGGTAGCAGGTCTACAGACTGTACTGCCTCATCCAAATCCCCATCCTTGGACTTAAGTACTACATTGAAATTACAGCACATCACGCCAGTCTCTTTTTGATCGGGTTATTTTTTAATACACTGCTTTTGGCTCTGTGAGCAGAGGCAGATCCATGTGATCAAACGGTTACAGCATGCAAACGTTAAATATCAGCTGCTTATTGCAAAGCTCTTATCTGCTAAAGCTGGTGGGTAAGAACTTCCTCTATTCTGACTCTGCAGTTCAAGCTGAGGCCCACAAATATAGCACAAAAAAATTTGCTTTGCAAGGTTCAGAAGGGACACGCTGTTATCTTTTTATCACACCCAAAACATCTTGCGATGCTACATATAACACTTGTCACTTTGCTGTCATCTTGGTGGAGGCATTAGTATGAAGCTTTCAGTACTCAATATCAAGAAAGCAGACAAACAATGACTGAATGCAGCCTATAATTTTGTGCACAATCCAGCATCCGGTTCCTTGCACTAATTTCGTTAGATCCCCGTGGTTAGAACACAGGGAATATCCTGCTTGCAATTTCTTGCCCTTACGTAACAGCAAGAAGCTGCTAGCTCACCCCGAGGCTACAGGCTGTGCCGGGTTCTCTCTCACATTGGCTTGCTTTTCTTTTTTTTTTTCTTGCACAATCACTCACATGCTCAGACACACAATAATGGTGCTATAATATGCTAGCTCATGCCTGAAGTGGTTGATAGCTCACTTCTTTAGAGAGCATAGCTATAGTGGCTGTGAAAGTAAACAGCTCGGATCAAACCAACTCTTAGCTCCCTTTGAAGAGTGGGAGACAATTACAGAGATCAATGGTGCAGCCCAGAGGTGGTTAACAGCCTAGACAGGCAGAAAGACAGAGATTGATGCCTCATAAGATCTAGAGAGTCTACTCCTCAATGACTTCACTATGCAGCCGAGTCCGGGGCTCAGCGCATCCTCACTGTACATACATGTTTGAATAGTGAGGCTTACCCCGAGGCTACAGCATGCACTCTGTACCTGGGAGCGTTCATCCCTTAGCGAGTGTGATTCAAGCACAACTCACTGGATTAAACCGAAATGTGTTGCTTGTTGGAGCAGCTGTGTGGGTGGAAGGTTTTGTGTGCAAAACTTTTTAGAATAGAGTGGTGGATTTCATATTAGTCTCCACGTTCACGGGATGCACGCAAAAATGATTCTTTTCCCTCGTAAGCATGGAGCTGTGATTCTGAGTAAAATGCAGCTGAAATATATAAATTAAAAGGTTTATTTATTCAAATTATTAATCATCAAGGAAAATATGTTTGACTGTAAACCAAAGAAGTAAATTTCCTTTGACCAGATACCACTAAATGTAACATTTTACATTGTACAAAGTTACACAGAGAACTCACATGCAATCAAATGACTCAAAGTGTTTAGCAAAGCGTGTGATGCGCAGTATGCACCAATGTGCGGCTGTGCACGCAAGTGTGAAAGTTGCATATTGCACCTAAAAAACTTTGACTGTAATGACTGTATTTCACACTGAATTTAAAGCACCCATTGACATGGTAACAACAGGCTCAAAAAAAAAAAAAACTTGCACTAACAAGTGTCAAGTGTCTGTTTGCGTGTCTCAGCGAGGGGGTGAAAGAGGGGATCCGCTCTAGCTGAGTAGGAGTTTCAGAAGAAGCTTTCCCGCCGCTTCTTTTCCGGTGGGATAACGTAAAAATGAGTCGACACGCAAGCCACAGATGACTCGCTCCACCTTGCCTTAGTAAACAACGAGCTGCAGAAAAAGAGTGGGAGAAGTGCCGCTAGCTATTTTTGTTTCTCAGCACACCAAAGTCACATTAGTTGCCTAAATGACACATTTGCCAGCTGATGTGGAACAATACCACAAAAAACAAAAAAACCCCTTTTGAACTAAATATGTGAAAGCAAAATTTGTCCATGGTGGCTCTGAGATGAATAGATTCAGAAAGTGCTTTTATTGTTGTGCACACTCATGAATAGCGCATTAAGTTCTTTAAAAAGAAAAAAGAGAGAGAGAGTGAGAGAGGAAGGGAGCGATAAGATCAAAACAAATATGTTTGTATTTCCTGGGGAGGGGGGGAAAAAGCTTTTTTAATGTCTTCCCACCCTCTTTTGGTGTGCGGCGGGGAAGCAGCGTTGGCTTATTTCTGATTATCATATAATTCCATCGGTGCAAACGGAGCAAAACAGCAAAGCGGGGACAAGAGCCGCCCTGCCCCGCACTCATTTACTCTTCAGTCCTCTTGGGTGAGGGAAGGTGGAGAAAAGCAAAATGCCATCAACAAATTTTAAAGGCAAGCTGCTGTACGAGAAACTGTATACTTTACACACCGCAGTGTTTGAACTGGTGGGGAAACTTATGAACTGCTGCCGTAAAACGCTGCAGCATCACAGAATCCATCTCAATTGAGCTTGGTTTTAATTGCACCCACCCAGCATGAGTACACAGTATGTTGACACCCACACACGAGATTACAAAGACTGCTTGGCCAGAGGCTTACTCACGCAGTGTACACAACTCTGGCCTGGCTGGCAAGCTCATCAGTGGCTCAGTTAGCCGTGGAAAATAGCAGCCTTTACACACACAGACACACACGCACACACAGGCTACAAGCATCAGCACTTTCCACCAGTGTCTCTCTTAAAGGAAACCATTACGCTGCAGGAACCCACGGGAAGGCAGGCAGGAAGGGATTTTCTCGAGAAAAAAAAAAAAAAGCTAAATTACAATAAGCTACTTTTCTTGGAGAAGAAGAAGAAGAAAAAATACAGCCAGCCAAGCATCTAATTCACCTGTGACCCAGTAATTTATTTGTCTGATAATCTGCTATTGCAGGTGACACTAACAATCACCAATAAAATGAGTAGAAAGAGGATACGGTGTGGGGTGGGGGTGGGGGCGGGTTTACAAGGCATGGGCTGATTGTGAGGGAGATATTTGATTAAATTCTCAAATGAATAATGCATTATGAAACTGATCCAGACAAATCCCACCTTGAGGAGATTGGAGTAGGATTATTCGGGGGAAGGTTTGGGAGAGGTTATGACAACGAGGAGGTTTCGTGGAAGGGTGCATTTCAGAATCAAGTGATTATTTTGGGCTTGATAAGGCAATTTGTCACAGCCCATTTATCCAAATTCCACCCGCGTGCAGGAAGGATGTACTATGAGGCGCATATATAGTAGTAATATTGTATATAGCACATGTCCACATTATCTCAACATCTGAAAGAGTTAAGAGAGTTATGGGTAAACAGTTTATTTCCACCTTCCTTATTTATTTTATACAGCTGCTTTCATTCTAAAACAAATTTACGTGAAGCCTATTCCCCGGAAACTAGAAAATGCCAGGTTGTGTGAATATGATCTATATATAAGTTATGTACCTTTTTCAGTTTTTATGCTGAGAGCTAAATCAGAAGTACATAGAGAATGGAGAAGGAAGGTGACTTAAGTGAGTTTGAATGTGGCATGGTTGTTGGTGCCAGATGGACTAGTCTGAGTACTTCACAAACTGCTAATTTAGCGGGATTTTTCCACACTTTCCCATCTCTAGGTTTTGCAGAGAACTGTCTGAAAAAGAGAAAATATCCAGGGAGGGGCAGTTCTCAAAAATGCCTTGCTGACGTCAGAGGAGAATGGCCCGATGGCTTCGAGTCGAGAGGAAGCTCAAATAATCACTCTTTGCAAGCAAAGTATGCAGAAGAACATCTTAGACCACACCAGGTGGCACTCCTTACAGCTAAGAACAGCAAAATGAGGTTAAGATTCACCAAAATTGGTCAAGATTCATCCTGCCTTGTATCAACAGTTGTCCATCTCTTTATTACTACAATCTCAAACCATGTCAAACTAGCTTCCTGAACACAACAGTGAATTCACTGTATTCAAATGGTCTCCAGTCAACAGATCTTAATCCAGGAGCTATGCATCATGGATATTCAGCTGACAAATGCAGCAACTGTGTGATGCTGTCATTTCAATATGGACCAAAATGTTTAAATGACCCTGTTGAATCTATGCTACAGAAAACTAAAGCAGTTCTGAAAGTCCAATACAGTACTAGTTGGACCTTCCTACCTAATAAAGTACTTAGTGGCAGTATAGGCATATGCATTATGTGCAAATTTAAAAACATTTTTAAATGTCAAGTACTGTAAGTAGTTTACCAGGTTCACAAAAAGTACAGTAAAGTTCTAAACTTAAACCAGTGTTTGATGTGACTGCAATTTCTCTGCTAAACAGTATAAATTCTCCTGGGTGTGCTTCTTAAGGTGGACTGCTTGAACGGTAGAACGTTCCAGAGTTATTCTTTAGGTTTAGGCTGTCTCACTTGTGTCTGTCTCTTAAAGTAATTCCATGACTCCATGATCTTTTAGATTAGGCTTTAGAATTAGGCCACCCCATCTGTTGCAGGACTAATTCTTCTTGTCACTGAAGATAGTACTGTATGACTCTGGCAGCTCAGACACCCTAATGGCACTGTCATTTATACATCTAAAATGACTAAAACATTTAAATCTGCTGCATTTGAAGGGCATTAAATACCAATAAATTTTGTCTCCACTAAGTTTTTACCTTGAAAAGAAGGGGCGTCTCTTTGTGGCAACAGCACCAGACATCTGCTCAGCAGTTTTTAAAAGTAATTAGCTTCCCTGCTTAGATTTAGTTGGTTGCTTTTAATGAGCGTGCACTATTCCAACAACAGTTTTCACGAATGACTGCATGCACCCCAACAATAAAACCCCGAGTACACTTAATTTCCAACAATTGTAAATATTCATTGGCATGCTCAGTCACTTTATTGAAGTGTACATCAACACAGTGGGGGGAACGATGTGGGAAAACAAAGTAATTATGTCGTGCCTTTCTAAATATAGTAAGCTAAACAGGAGCTTGAAGTATTGCGAGACAATAAAAATGATATGATCAGTGTGAGAAGGCGCTTCAGAGGCTCAGGCTTTGGAAAGAGCTTCAAACGTTTTTTAACACTTCTCTCCGCTGTGACAGGTTTTGCTACACACAGCATGTCTGTAGAGCTTTGCAGATGTCATGTGAGACATGTGTAGCATTAACCTAACATGGCAGAGCGAGTACTCTGATGTCAATAAAAAAATGACTTGGTCTTTTAACTTTATGAGTTTTTTCTTCTTCTTTTTTTTAGGATCAGGGACGATTTATCCCTCACTGTTGGCAATCGTAAAGCTGCTATGCTTTTACATACGGTGGCCCTGAGAGGCCAAACGGACTGCAACTTTAGAAAACACTTGCAAAAAGAAAAATGCTGCACTGCAACTTCAAGAA